AACCCTAAATCCTAAACCCTAAACCCTAAACCCAAACCCTAAACCCTAAACCCTAAACCCTAAACCCTAACCTGCACTGCCAAGTCGGGGTTCAGTGGTTCAGGGAGTAGGGGCAGCTACTGTGTGAGGTTGCAGGCTTCCCGCGGGAACCTAGCAAAAAGCAGGGTTCAGGGTTTAGGGTTTAGGGTTTAAGGTTTAGGGTTTAGGGTTTAGGGTTCGGCCGCTTAGGGTTGTTTCATGTCTGTTTGGTTTATAGGCCTTAGAGAGTTTAAATTGTTCAGGGTTTTGGAGTTTGGGGTGTAGAGTTCCCTATACTCCCCTTAGAAACTTCATAAACATAATATCTTTAATATCCTCTTGGGTTTTATATGAACAAAAATAGGAAATGATTCCCTAGGGGGGTAGAGTTCTGATGAGCTGCATACAGGAACCCTGACTCTTCGCGCAGTCACTGCCGCATGCTGTCCCAGAGCTCTCGCTTGAGAGTCTGGAGCGTGAGAGGCCGGTTTAGGGTTTAGGGTTTAGGGTTTAGGGTTTAGGGGATTGAACATGATCTCTGCAAAGATGAACCACCTTGAAACGGCCTAAAACGTCCTTAAAAGTAGCACACATCGCGACTCAGGCAGCCGGAGAAGGACGCATGGCGGAAAGGGTTCAATTACTTATCTTTGGAGTAGACCCTGGAAAAAAGGTATATACTTTTTAGGTTTAAGTAGCTATTATAGGAACCCAGAACAAAAAAAAGCATTCAAGTGCAGTACTCCAAAACCCAGATTAGGGTCTCGATCCAGGGCTCGTCGGAGGTTAGTGAGCCGAAGCTTCAGGTTTGGGGTTTACAGGGTTTCGGGTTCAGGGTTTAGGGTTTAGGGTTTAGAGGCAACTTGAGGGTTTAGGGGTTTTTTAAGCCTTGAGTCTATCCGCGCGGACGGCTGCTGAATCGGCGAATGAAAGATCCTTGAAGAATGCCTTGAGCTTGTGAAGAATGTATACGCGTTGTCGTTCAGTCCCCGTGGTAAAAGACGGAAGGACTGCGTGCTCCGACACCTTAATACTGGGCAACGCGTTGGGCTGCAGACCGATACTGACTTCAGCCCTACGCCGATTCCAGGCGGCAGAAGCGGCACTGAAAACTATTCCGAGCTCCTGTATCCAGATCTTCACGGAGCCTGCCCCCTAAACCCTAGAGTAAACCTAACCGACCTAACCCCCCTGCGACAGCCACGTTTCGCAGCATTTGCATTAACAGAATGAAGCTTCTTAGGGTTTAGGGTAAGAACCCCACAAAAATATTCCTCCTTCCAGGGTAATATAAAGATCATCATGCTTTGTGATCTTATGGGCTCTTAAGCAACTAGTAGTTTATAGGGCTTGATTGTTGATGTAGATGGAAATGCCAAAGCCTTAAAAGTCCAAGTCTGTGAGCCGGCACCTATAGGGGCGCAAGGGAGCAGCCACGTTTTGGGGTTAGGGTTTAAGGTTCAGGGTTTTAGGGTTGGTTTAGGGTTTAGGGTTTAGGGTTTAGGGTTTAGGGTTTAGGGTTTAGGGTTTAGGGTTTTGGGTTTAGGGTTTAGGGTTTAGACACAGAGGACTTGCCAGGTTCCCCCAGGTGCCTAAATGGTCAAAGGGTAGCTTGCTTTCGGTTTCATTCGGTTGTGAGGGCTCCAAACCCTTTCCTAAACCCTAAACCCTAAACCCTAGAAAGGGCACATGAACCCCTTGGCCCGAAACCGAACTCCTGGGCCTCTCAGTTCCGTCTTAGCATTGCAGGCACCGTTCGACAAAGCTGGTTGCGATTATAGTGCAGGGACATGTGGGCGACTACGAAAATAGGGAACCTCTAAATTAGGACAAAATAGTAGGATCCCCTTAGAATAAGGACCCCAAAAGGTGCCCCCAATTTTGGAAACCCCCATGTGTCCTAACATGTCCTAAGTTATGCGTAGACCTCAATCTAGATAACTAGGGGCTTGTGCTCATGCACTGGATATGCCGGAGATCTCAAGTGCAACGTGCCGTTCATCTTTCCGCCGACGTGCGGGGAGTTTGCCAATCTTCCTTGGGACCTTCCTGGAACCGAAAACACTTAACATTGGCATACAGGGTGAGGCCCCCCTTACTATACCGTGGTTACAGGGCGTCCTAAAATTTCATAAGGGGACCCTCCTGAGTAGTATAAGGCATGACAGGCCCCCAAGGTCGCTGTAAACAGTTTGAATGGCGAGACGAGGGCCTCAGTCGAGGCGAAATTTTAAAGGCAGTTTTTGTTTCGACCTGGCAACGCGAGTCCCAAAGCACCCAAGCAAACTTGATTGGGAACGGTACCGCAATATGGCCGTGTGAGCTACCATGAGCTACCCGAAACACACATTCCGATTGCATGTCCCTGGCATACTATACTACTATGTGGGCACCATACTTGTCAACCATCCCCAAAATGATCGTCAACCATAGCCCTGTTATGATGCAATGTAGGGGGACATTCATATTCATTCCCAAATCGGTATCCAGTAACGAGAAAACAGGAACACCTCCCGGCACTCAACGACCCAGAAACCGCATTGCCCCTATTCTAGAATTAAACAAAGTGCCTAGCCAGGACCCCTCACGTTCTAGGTCCATACCCCACTTACTGGGCATTGGGCCCTAAGCCCTAAACTTAAAAACCCCCAAGCCCCTTTTCCCCAACCGAGGGGGTATGCTTGTCAAGCAGAGCATTCCATGCTTGTGACTTTGGACTGTGCGTGGGGTTTAGGGTTTAGGGTTTAGGGTTTAGGGTTTAGGGTTTAGGGCTCCATTCCACTACCTAACCCCTATATACACCTCATATAGTCCGTATATACCTAAGTAGCCCCTTCGTTAACCCCCTAAGGCCCCTTATAAGGGTCCTCTCCTAGTGGGTCCTCCTCCAGTGCCTTGACTGTTTGTGCTTGCCTGCATTCTAGAGCCATGTAGGATAACCGTCCGGATCTGCAAGCTTTTGAGCTTAGGTTTTGCTGTTGCTACTGCTTCCTAAAAGCCCACAATAATTAACCACCAACCCCTTCATGCAGTGGTCGGGTCGAATTGGGTCCAAAAGCGGAGGTCAAAAGCCGAACTGGAACTGCAATTGAAAGTCCGGAGGTGCCCACCCGCACACAAAGCGGGCGGAATGCCTGCGATTCACACGGTTGAAGTACCCCAAACACGATAAAGGACAAAGCACAGCTATCATTCAAGAGTCAGGGTGCTTGCTTATTTTGCGGACATGTCTGTCTCTGTGTGTGTGTGTGTGAATTGCAGGCTGGTGGACATAGGCCACCCTCTCCTGAAACACGCCCAGTTATGGGCCTGGGGTCGCGTGCTGGCTAATACTTGCCGTCCGCGGCCCTTTCTGATACTGAGACACGCATCTTTTGCGCATAGTATCCTCAACCTCTCGTGGGGCTTCCATCCCCACTGGGACTTGATGGAATGCGACTTGACAGTTGTGTCAGTTGTGTCCCGGGACGACTTGGTAGCACTAATCCTACTTGTCCAGTACCTAGGAGAACCAAAGGTCAACCTTTGGGATATAAGGGGATCATATAGCCCCAAAAAGGTTAAAGGTTACCCACTCTACAACTAAGTAATTGTGTGGAGCGGAAAGGACAGAGAACGCCAGCTGGGAAGTGGGGGGCCTCTGGATAAGCACTCGAGCAAGACCCACAAGGGCCTCGCTGCAGTTTCTGCCTGTATGCCCCAATCCGACATCCCACCTCCCCTCCCCCCCGCCCCTCCAAAAAAAAACAAAAACGCCCACCCAATATTCAAACCCCCTACTCCCGAACTCCGAAGAGAATAATTCCCGTAATGCCTGTCAGAATATACTATGCTGCGAATGTATAAGGAGGGTTTAGTATTGGCCGGGGGTGTGCGTGGGGGGGGATAGTAGGACAATTGCCACAAGCCCCTCCCAAAACGACATTCCCGACTGGTGGCCCAGGTAAAGATCAAGGTCGCACACCGCCACCCCATCAAGTTCCCAATACACGGGAATCTAAATGTAAACCCTATATCCTGTAACATCAACCCTAAACCCTAAACCCTAAACCCTAAACCCTAAACCCTAAACCCTAAACCCTAAACCCTAAACCTCAAACCCAGGGCCAGGAAGGCTTCAGCCTGAACCCGGCCAGCGCTGTACATAGTGACTCATCGCAAACCTCAGCAGATTTAGGGCTTAGGGTTTAGGGCCGTTTAGGGTTTAGGGTTTAGGATTCTGGGGTTTAGCGTTTAGGGGTTTAGGATTTAGGGGTTTAGGGTTTAGGGTTTAGGGGTTTAGGGTTTAGGGTTTAGGGTTTAGGGTTTAGGGGGCCGTTTAGGGTTAGGGGCAAGTTAGGGGTGTTGGGGTCTAGGGTCAAGGGTTAAGGTTTCGGGCTTTAGGGTTAAGGGTTTAGGGTGTCGGGGCCCAGAGGGCAATGGGGGCTTTTTTACTAGGGCCGCTGTCTGTGCGTCTTTGTATGACTATCAGCCGATAAGAAGATTTCATCCAGATTGCATAGTTCCAACAACCCTACCATGAAGCACATCCCTACACCCTAAACCCTAAATCCTAATTAAACCCTAAACCCTAAACCCCATGGTCGCTACCTGTACAGTGGCTGAACAGCGGTGGACGCCAGAGTCGCACAGCACCTACTTGCCCCAAAAACCTCTACAAGCCCCTAAGGGTTTCGGGTTTAGGGTTTAGGGTTTAGGGTAAGCCCCCCCCCCCCCCCCCATCGAACCCGCAAAAGTCTACGCTACCATAAAGCTTCTTTACCTTATTCTGAACATCTGGACCATAAACCTTCTTGAACCCATTGCGTCTGTAAACCCTAAACCCGAAACCCGGGTCCATTCTGGGTCTGTGATCCTTAACCCTAAACTCTCAACTTTTATTGAACCCTCAACCCTAAACCCTGATTAAGCCCTAAACCCTAAACCCTAAACCCTAAACCCTAAACCCTAAGAGCTTGGTTCACGCCTAGGGGCTCTGGCCATCAGCTGATCTGCCGGACGAAATCCTTCACCTTCGTTTTGGCCTCACAGTGTGGTTCGGATTCGGTGCTTTTAGGGTTTAGGGTTTAGGGTTTAGGGTTTCGTTTCTACAGGGGGTCCGAAGTATGTGCCCTTAATTTGGGTCCCTTGTCGAGTATAACCCTTCTACACGCTTTACATACTGAGGGCCCATACTTCGGATCCCTACAAACAAGGGTAAGGGACCACGCTTAGGGCCCATGGTTCCAACCTTAGAACGTTTGGGGCATTTCAACTTTAGGGCCCACAGGCCACAGGCCTGCCAGATTTGTTGAATGATCGACGGACGAAAGTTGCCTAAACCCTAAACCCTACACCCTACACCCTAAAACCTAAACCCTAAACCCTAAGCCCTAAACCCTAGTACGAACTTTGTTGTCCTCGTTTGTCAGGCTGTGGATTTGCTGAGTCTGTGGATGCGTTGAATCCGTTGACGCCGTGCCGTGGGGCTGATGCCGATATTGGGATACATTGAAGTGGTTTAGGGTTTGGGGTTTATAGGGCATAGGGTTTAGGGTTTAGGGCCTAGTTTAGGGTTTGGGGTTTAGGGTTTAGGGTTTAGGGTTTAGGGTTTAGGGTTAACGCCGTGAATTTCGGTGCCGCCCTTGGAGCCGCTGCTGCCGTGTAGAGTAAGCACCGAGCTTTTGAAACTAAGTCTAACAGTCCTTAAGAGGGTTTAGGGTTTAGGGATTAGAATAGGGGGTACTAGAATCCCTGTTAAGGACTGTTAGTATAAAGGGGACATCCTAAACTAAGGATTTCAAAACGAACTTCGAGTCATGCCTCCACGTCCGGTACTCTCGAGAAGCTTCAAGCAGCTCAAATAACCCAGAGAACCCAGAACCCGTTAATATCTTAGTTGAGGGGTCTTAAGGGCTCTTCGGGTATAGGATGACGCGGTGCATTTCTGTGACGCCGCTGAAGAGAGTGATGCCATTGTCGCTGTGCGAATCTTCACATAAATCGTGCTTTCAGAAGGCGGGGGGGGGGGGGCTTGCGATACCTAAGCCAAAAACCGTAATCCCTAAACCCTAAACCCTAAACCCTACACCCTAAACCCTAAACCCTAAACCCTAAACCATCTCCTTCAAAAACCAAAGGAGCCAGAGGCAGAAGAGAACTCTACATGTGCGGGAGGCCCACGTGTCTACCTGCAAGTGCAGCACTTGGCGATTCATGGTACTTACTAACCAATTATAACTGTACTTACAACCCACTTATAAGCCCCGGAAGTGCCCTAATATGGTTATAAGTACAGTTATACGTACAGCTACAATTGGTTAGTAAGTACCAGGAACCTCCAAGTACATAGTCGACTATTTGCTTAAGACTTCCCCCCCCTCCCCAACAAAATGAAGAGAGTCTTCCTTGTAAGGAACATATAGGGATTACAAAAAAGGGTAACATAAGGTTTAGACAAAGAGTCTTCCTTGTAAGGGTCGAAGGGTTTGGGGCTTAGGATGTATAGGCCTGTAGGGTTTAGGGTTTAGGGTTTAGGGTTTAGGGTTTAGGGTTTAGGGTTTAGGGTTTGGAAAGTAGGCTTTAGGGTTTCGGGAGCATTCAGCGCCGCAGGCTTACGAGTTCTTCGGGCTGAGTAGCTCCAAACCCGGTGGGAAGCGAGAGGTTTAGGGTTTAGGGTTTAGGGTATAGGGTTTAGGGTTTAGGATCCGACCTGGCTGATCCATCCGGTACTTGCCTCTTCATCGACCATGCCTGCGTCAAACGAGATACAATTAAAGTACGTGCAAGTTGCATATAGCACTTGGAGGTTCATGGCAATTGCTTACTAACCAATTACAACTGTACTTATAATAACCCTAAAAAGACCTTATAGGGGTTATCCCAATTATGAGTAGGGTTATAAGCCCAGGCCGTCGGCGGTGTTCGAGTTTGCCCCTGAAGGTGTATGCACGTGCGCTTGTGCGGGCGTTTCCCCCGCACCACCCCGAACAGTCGAAATGGGCCCGGAGCGTGCTACGATCTTAGAAAGCAATGTAAGAGAGAGTGTGCGCGCGCGGGAGTGTGTGTGTGTGTGTGTGTGTGGAAGAGGGATCGGGTTGATGGGCTTTATAGTGACCAAGTCCCGAAGCCGGCAGTCTGCGGCCTGCGGTCATGTGTTCGCGTCTTTAGCGAAGACATGTTTTTAAGTCGCGCCCGATTTCCTCTAACTGGTGCTCATGAAACCCTTTCAATGTTCGATTATTGCTGGCCTTCCACATAGAACCAACTAACAGTACACTCAGTTACATCGCGGTCAGCTCTGAGCAAAAACCGGGTCTAGGATGGTTCAAGGCCGTTTCAACTCCCTAAACCCTAAACCCTGAACCCTGAACCCTAAACCCTAAACCCTAAACCCTAAACCCTAACTTCAACTCCCGGGGCGTGTCCTGCTTTCTCCCGTCTGCGTTCAATCTTCCTCTTGATCTTGCCAGGATTCGCCTGCACGTCCTCCAGGGGTTTAGGGTTTAGGGTTTAGGGTTTAGGGTTTAGGGTTTAGGGTTTAGGGTTTAGGGGTCTGCCAAGGAAGATCCACAAGCATGCCAACCCTAAATCCTAAAGCAAGCCCTCAAAAGCCAACGTATCTAAGGGTATGTCTGACACCTACATCCGATTCTGGACCCTCTGCTTTGAATGTAGGCGTTCAGGGTTTAGGACTAGACGTTTGTGGACTGAATTCAGATCCGGGGGCGGGGAGGGGGGGGGGGGGGGGGGGGAAGGGGTTGTTCTTGCTGCTCTCAACTACAAGAACTGTGCCATCGTTGACATCCCAAAATCGTCTGTAGCGGAGAGAGAGAGAGAGAGAGAGAGAGACAGAGAGAGACAGAGAGAGCGAGCGAGAGAGAGGGAGAGAGAGAGGGAGAAAATCCCAAGTGCATCGTGGGTCCGGCCCCCGAATGCAGAATGCCCTGAACTCCTGAATGCTATAACCCAGAACCTAGGACCCGCTCAGTCCAAAAACCCTTATGCCTAAAACTCGACTTGAGCGTACCTTCTTGGGCTTGTTCGGGCATAGCCCTCAATCCTCCTGTGAACCTAACTTAAGCAACTCCTAAACCCTAAACCCTAAACCCTAATCCCTAAACAAGTCCTCCAGGAAAGTCTTGATCCGATGCTCGTGTCGAGCGTGCATCAAGCCGTTTGGAGGCATTGGGATGCAGACGTCGGCAGGTAAAGTGTAGTTGCCCATCGAGGGCCTTGCTGAAATCTTCGGCCAGGGTATCGGGTTTCGGGTTTAGGGTTGAGGGTTTAGGGTTGAGGGTTTAGGGCTTAGGGGTTTAGGGTAGTGATCTTAAGGAACCGCAAAAGCCCCAAACAACCAAGCCCTAAAGCTAACCTTAATTCTGAATCGTATGTGCCCTGGGATCATCAGAACCACCTAACGATGGCGAAGGATCGTTTAGAGAACCCAACACCTTGATTCCGGAAAGGGCTTTGGGCTTTGGGCTCGTTACGCCCCTTAGATATACCTTGTAGTACTCAGAAGGAGGATCCCCCAATTTGTTTAAGGTACAAATGACAGTTCAGGAGAACTACCAAACAAGCTTGCAGGAGTGCATACCTGGAGGTTCATCTATGGGCTTTAAGGTTTAGGGTGTAGGGTTTAGGGTTGAGGGTTTAGGGTACCTAAACCCTAAACCCTAAACCCTAAACCCTAAACCCTAAACCCTAAACCCTACACCCTAAACCCTAAACCCTAAACCCTAAACCCTAAACCCTAAACCCTAAGCTACGGTTCACTCATTTCCTACTCAGAACGTGTAGGTGAACCCAGAGGCCTTGGAGATCTGGAGTCGCGTCGACTCCAATCTGCCTCGATGTCCGCAATGTCGGGCTCGCTTTCGAAAGTGTTATGAGTCCTCAGCTCCGCAGCCCTAAACCCTAAACCCTAAACCCTAAACCCTAGACTTAGATCTTGTGTTGAGGGTTCAGGGTTGGTTTGGGATGCCCAGAAATGTTTGAAAGAGAAGCCCATGCCCCGGCCCGGGCATTTCCCCAAATGGGGAACCCCCTTATGCAGCCTTAAACCCCTTCAGGGTTTAAGGTTCAAACCCTAAACCCTAAACCCTAAACCCTAAACCCTAAACCCTAAACCCTAAACCCTAAACCCTGAACCCTAAACCCTAAACCCTTTCAGGGTTTAAGGTTTTAAATGCTGAAACCCTCACATTTTTCGGAAACCCCCCCATTACAGGCAACCTCTCTCTATGTCACCTTAACTTGGAGACCGAACCCTATCATTGGGGTCATATGCCCTACTTGAAGGCTCATGGTCCTTACTAACCAATTATAACTGTACTTAAAACCCTACTTATAATACCCCTAAAGGGCCTTACAGGGGCTATCCCTATTATAAGTAGGATTCTCAGCCCAGTTGTAAGTGGTTATTAAGTCCCAAGAACCTCCAAGTAGACACTACATGACACTACCTTGGCTGCATTTAGCGGGGTAGCTATAAATTCAATCTTTAGCTGCCTTATTAAGAAAACCCAATAAGCCCAAAAAAAAGGCTGAGGATCTAAAGTTACAGTAAAGCACCACAGAGTAAAATTGGGGTCCATATGCCCTATAGACACTACGGCATATGGTTCGTCCTCTCAATTGTGGTCCCTTCTGCGGCTGCTATTATTCTCCAGCGGCCCCCTAAGATTACTCCAAACCCTATAAACCCTAAACCCTCAACCCTAAACAAGGGGCCCTGAGAACTGACCACATGGACTCCCACTCCGAAGTCCGAAGCCTCTAGGGGTTCTACCTTGGGCCCTTAAGGTTGTACCCTTGGGCTTGGGGTTTAGGGTTTAGGGTTTAGGGTTTAGGGTTTAGGGTTTAGGGTTTAGGGTTTAGGGTTTAGGGCTTAGGGTTTAGGGTTTAGGGTTTAGGGCTTAGGGTTTAGGGTTTAGGGTTTAGGAATGCTTGAGGGGATATAAGGGCCATATTAGGAGTATATTAAGGGGAACGTTTAGGGGTACAACCTTAGGGGTACGAGTCTTCATCCCTTGAAAGCCCGAAGCCCTAAGCCCTAAACCCTAAACCCTAAACCCTGAACCCTGAACCCTAAACCCTAAACCCTGAAGGGCTTTGGGGCTTGGAGCTTAGGTTCCGGGCATGAGGCACAGAACTGTTGCAACGGTTTACGGCGAAGGTTTAGGGTTTAGGGTTTAGGGCTTAGGGCTTAGGGCTTAGGGTTCGGGGTTCAGGGTTTAGGGTTCTGGGTTTAGGGTTTAGGGCTCTCAGAAACGTTTCATTAAAAGACCTTCTTAACCCTTAGAAACCCCTAATCATCAGACCGAGGAACGCAGGGGAGCCCTCGTAGGTCGGCATCCCATCATCATCCTTGCAAGGGACATAGATTTGGTCTTCAGGTGACGAGAGCCTAAACCTTACGAACCTGAAGCCGCTACTACTACTACTACTACTACTACTACTACTACTACTACTACTACTACTACTACTACTACTACAACTAGGCGTCACGTTCTTAATTGATCGCAGGGGTTTTGTGGCGTGCAATTTTCGTGTTAAGAGACGAAAACCTCGGTATTTACAGTGTTTCCTGGCTTTGTCCGTTTACGGACACGAAAAATGGACGTGTAAAAAGTCCCGCAAACTACTTTCAACTACTTTAGGCGCAGGAGGAAAACATCGGTATTTACAGTGTTTTCGGGCTTCAAAAACGGTCAATTACAGGGCCTACTTTGCGCAGACGTGTTCTCAGAACAGAGGAAAAGACCGGTATTTACAGCGTTTCGCGGGTTTTCTAAGATGTGGCCAAACTTGTCCTTAAACCCGAACGCCTCCAGCAAGCCGAACAGTCGTGCACCCTGAAATCCGAAACCCCGAAACCTGAAGCAAGCCCAAGAGTCGTGCACCCTTAAAATCTCAACCCCACAGCGTCAAGCACGTCCCCAGAAAAAACACAAAACATCTGGAGCCTGAAACCCCAAACCCCATGTGTACCCTGAATGACAAAGCAGTCCCACAGTGCACCCCCTTAAACCTTAAATCCCATAGAAAAAACCCAAAAGTCCTTTTACAGCCTCAACCCCAAACCCTTCCCTTAAACCCTCAACCCCAAATCCCAAAAAAACCCAGAAGATCCCTAAACCCTCCACTGTGAATCCCAAAAAGCCGAAAAGATCCCGAAACCCTCCACTGTGAGCCCAAAAGGTCTTACCCTTAAACCCTAAACCCCAAATCCCAAAAAACCTCAAAAGGTCTCTACCCTCAAGCCCCAAACCCTAAACCCTCCACTGTAAGCCCAAAATGTCTTGCCCTGAAACCCTAAACCCCAGATGCCAAAAAAAACCAAAAGATCTGTAGGCTGAAACCTCAAACCCCATATTTCCACTGGAAGCCCAAAAGGTTCCCAAAAAAGCCCAAAAGATCTGTACCTGCAAACCCTAAACCCTCCACTGTGAGCCCAAAAGATCTTGCCCCTAAACCAACCAAAAAAACAGAGGAAAACAGTAGACAGCGTGGTCAAGCGTGCACAAAGCCCAGCACGACCCCCATGTGTGCACAAAGCACAGCACGTAATTACCCCCCCACCCCCCCCCCCCAACCCCTCAGCATGGTCATGTGTGCACAAAGCACAGCACGTAATTACCCCCCCCCCACCCACCCCCCCCACCCCCCCCAACCCGTCAAACGCAGAAAAAACCAGAGAAAACGATAGAAAAAGTCAAAAAACAGCAGAAAACACCATGATCAGTTAAGAGCGTGTCACCTACTACTACTACTACTACTACTACTACTACTACTACTACTACTACTACTACTACTACTACTACTACTACTACTACTACTACTACTACTACTACTACTACCCCCCCCAACCAACCACCACACGTGAGGCGCATGTACAAAGTAACTGGCAGGCATGGTACGGGAAGCACTTGCCAAGCATTGGCTTTTACTTCTCCGGATCAGACGTTGGACATAGAAAAACGCTCAAAACCCGAATTTTGGACGTCAATTTTGTTTTTAAGTTGTTCGTTGTGCACTGGTTTAAGGTTTTGGGTTCAGGGCTGAGGCTTTCGGGCTTTGCACAACTCTGGCTGTTTTGGGTTTGGGGTTTAGGGTTGAGGGTTTAGGGTTGAAGCTTTCGGGCTTTGCAGAACCCTGCCTGTTTCGGGCTCAGGGTTGAGGGTTCAGGGTTTTGGGTTGAGGCTTTCGGGCTTTGTAGAACCGTGCTCGTTTCGGGTTTGGGGTTGAGGGTTCAGGGTTTTGGGTTGGCTGAAGGTTTCGGCTTCGGTGAAAAAGAGATGGAGCTTGGCATGAAGCCTTGGCAGGATCGCAATAACCCCCCCCCCCCCCCCCCCCCCCCCCCACCCACCACGCAGTGGGAACATGGATGTTAGCATTGGCATGAAGGTTTCAGCTTCTGGTGAAAAAACAGGAGATGGAGCTTTGGCATGAAGGTTTCGGCTTCGGGTGAAAAACAGGAGATGGAGCTTTGGCATGAAGCCTTGGCAGAAACGTAATTACTAGGTTCCCCCCACCCATACTTCAGGCTAAGTAGGGATAGTTAAGCCTAATTAAGCTTATTTAGAGGGGAACCTAGGGGGGGGGGGGTAGCCCTAAACCCTAAACCCGAAACCCTCAACCCTAAACACAAGAAAGGGCGGGGGGGTTTTGAAGGGAAACGCATCTCTATGCTCAGATAAGGCGCTGAATCCTACGCCCTAAATCCGGATCTGAGAAGCGTTCGCATACGCAGCCTGGTAAAGTCTTTAGGGTTTAGGGTTTAGGGTGAGCGGAGGAGCGGCCAGTGAAGCTTCTTGGAACGAACTCCGCCCACAAGCCCAGCACGGTGTTTTGCCCGGAGCATTCTTCATAACATTTTGTTGCATTTCCCAGAAAAGAGGGTACCTTAACATCCCCCGAAAGCAGTATAATCCTTATCCCATTAGGACCCTAAACCCTACACCCTAACACTAAGTCCATACATAATATGTCAAGGTTGTACGGAGAAGACCTGTGTTCTGCGTTGAGGTCGGCTTAATTGAGGCAGGGGCATGGGGCTTGGGTGAAACCAGGCAGAACCTTCAGACACGAGGGCAGGAATGGGTTTAGGGTTTAGGGTTTAGGGTTTAGGGTTTAGGGTTTAGGGTTTAGGGTTTAGGGTTTAGGGTTTAGGGTTTAGGGTTTAGGGGATTGGGGTTTAGGGTTTATATAGGGTTGCTTGCTCCTCTTCCATGGCCAGGTCTGGCTGGCGACTGGGCATCAAGGGAAACCTCACAGGGCCCAAGTGGGCATCAGGGGTTTAGAAGGCTTAGGTGTAAGCTTGTCGTGGGTAGCAATAAGACGAGTATGGTATGCTCACAACCCTATCTGCTCAGAATTACCTAAACCCTAAACCCTAAACCCTAAACCCGAAACCCTAAACCCCAAACCCCAAACCCCAAACCCTAAACCCTAAACCCTAAACTAACGGGTTGGGCGCTGAGGGGAGATCTGGCACCAACACCTTCAAAGCCCTCGCTCCTCAAGCCTAAAAACGTCCCCAAACCCTTTTGAGGGTTCAGGGTTTAGGGTTTAGGGTTTAGGGTTTAGGGTTTAGGGTTTAGGGTTTAGGGTTTAGGGTTTAGGGTCGACTTAAGCTAAGCCTCTGACAGACATGTCGGGCGCAGCTCGCCCTTTTTTGCTTTTTGTGTTTTAAGGGCTTCTTGGAGCCCCACATAACAGAGATGCCCCAACGTCCATGTACCCTAAACCCTAAACCCTAAACCCTAAACCCTAAACCCTAAACCCTAAACCCTAAACCCTAAACCCTAAACCCTTAACCCTCTCGTGACCGGGCTAAGGGATCGTGCTCAGAGGCACCTTCGGAAATTAGGTACCCTATGTATACCGGGTTTAGGGTTCAGGGTGTTGTATAGGGAGCTATAAGGTCCCAGAGACCCCCCAAAAGCCCCCTTAATGCAGGAACAGGCCTTCAACTATACAGGGATCCTTACCTTAAACTATATAGTGACACTTAGTCTGATTTCAGGTCTAAGGGTTATAAGTTATCGGGCTCTTGGTACCCGTTTCCCTCGTCCCCTACATGGGTGGTTGTCAAACTCATGGTCCCATTTTTGGACCCCTATTACAAAACGGCACCTAATATTTAGGGTACCCCCCAAAAGGGATCATAAATTTTGACAGCCACCCCACATGCATCCAAGAAGCAGCTGCCCAAACTCCTCGGAGGAGCTGATTGGCTCCAAGAGGCCCATGGTCAGCCCGATCTTCGAGAGCGTGAGTCAGAAAGCGTGTCTAGGGTAAGAAGAAAAGACCTCCAGCCAGAAGTGGCAGCGTGATGGTCAAAACTACCCTAAACCCTAAACCCCAAACCCTAAACTCAGAGAGGAGCCACAGAGCCACTCTTCTTACTCCTGGCCTCGCCAGATCTACACGCTTTTGCGCCAATCAGAGCCCTCAATCTTGAGTCACTATCCACCCCCCACTCACCAGCCTGAACCCGAAAGCCTGAAACCTAAACCCTAAACCCTTTCTTGATCCAATGTGACTGGGGGATTCCCAAACGGTCCAGGTACGTTGCTGGGGAATACTTGGGTCTGTAGCTTGTACACCTAAGAGATCACCCCCTGGCTTAGGACTTAGGGCTTAGGGTTTAGGGTTTAGGGTTTGGGGTTTAGGGTTTAGGGTTCAGGACTAAGGCTTAATTAGGGTGTGTAAGTCGCATTCGCTCGTTCCAGCGCAGCTAAATTGCAACCCCCCTAGTTAGACCCACCCAGCCTCGACTCCTTTAGCGCCTTTAGGGTTTAGGGTTTCCGCCCCCAATCCCCTATCAAGGGGGCTGTTCCTGCTTGTTTGGGTGCAAACATACTTTTGGGGCGCCACAACACCAAGAAGCTGTTTCATGCTTACAGCCCTACTTATATGTACCCCATGAACCTTGAAGCAAGCACCTTTCGACGAGCTTACTCATACTCTGCGCGCAAAGGGCCCGCGAAATGCAGGGGCCGACGACATGGAACGCTCCGTCTGGCCTTACTGTGCACACCCATCGGCTACGGTACACAGGTTGAACGGCAACACAGTCCGGAGTGCCGGGCCCTTGCAGACGGTTTTGACGCTGTAACCTGATTCAAGACCAGGGCATCGTACAGTTTCAAATAGTTGTCCCGAATTGAGGGGTATTGGGCTCCCTGGGTACAAGCAGGAACAAGCCGAGATCTCACAGAACAGCCCGATATATGACAGTGAGTGCCGGGATGCTAAATATGTCCGTGGCCTTTGTATGACACATACGTGGGAAATGGTTAGCTCTGAAGGGTCCTAAGGGGACTTTAGAGCCCTACAATACTAAGTCTCCAACCCTGCAGACCACAACATGGCTCCGGTGCCAATCCCGTCCTGTTAAGAGAGAGAGAGAGAGAGAGAGAGAGAGAGAGAGAGAGAGAGAGAGAGAGCGAGGGAGAGACGGAGACAGAGAAAGAGAACGAGAAATAGAAGGAGACAGAGAAAGGGACAGAGACACAGAAAGAGAAAGAGACAAAGAAAGGAGAAAGAGAAAGAGAGATAGATAGAAAGAGAGAGAGAGAGAGCAAAAACAACTCTTGCTGTTGCCAAGGCTTCCTACATTCCCACTTTAAATCTCCAAGCAACTGTCGAGTCAAAACCGGAAGCCGAAAAAAAGCTCGAGTAGAACTGATCGACGAAATTCCTACCACAAAATGGGGCTAATGACTGCCTGCGATTAACACGACAAGAGCACCGTGACTTAGATCCGAAGCCGAAAGCGGCCAGGGACCACGCAGTCTTGCAGTCAAGTGCCGGAGGACTCGGTCCATCCGCATCTTTCCCTAAACCCTAAACCCTAAACCCTAAACCCTAAACCCTAAACCCTAAACCCTAAACCCTAAGCTTCTTCAAACTTCAAATCTGCATGAAGGGGCAGAGGGCATGGGCCTCTGCTTTCCACAAACTAATTGCTACTTGGAGGTGCATGAGCCGTTTTGCGGTTACATGTTGGGTTATAGGTACCTCAATTAAAGGGCTCTGTCACGATACTTTGTGCCACTTATACTAGACCCAAGCGTAACGTAGGAATGCCAAGGGTGCGCCTTTGGTTTCAAGGGGCTTATACGGGAACCTAAACGCTCTTAAGAAATGGGAATAAGGGGCCTGCAAACTACCCGTGAACCCACAAGTACTTCTAACAGAGGCATAAGACCGGGTTAGGGTTTAGCGTTTAGGGTTTAGGGTCTAGGCTATAGGGTTTAGGATTTAGGGTTCGCAGGGCTCTCAAGATACATTGTGACACTCACCTGCACATGCTTGGCACACTCCGGCTTGCTCAACTTCTGCCTTTTCGTCATAAAAGGCCCCATATGGTTCAAACTACATTCGGTAAGCTTTCAATTCCTAAAGCCTAGATAATCTATGTTACGCGTTGGAAGATGGGTTTAGGGTTTAGGGCTTAGGGTTGCTGGTACAACAGACTCTGCACCTCCTGGCCGCTCACACAGCTTCTACCCGCACTGGGTCTTGCTGGTGCTGGTGCGACTTGACAGCTATGGTCCGGACGATTGCTTAGCGTTTGGAGCCTTACGGTTAGGGTTCAGGGTTTAGGGGGTTTAGGGGATGTAGAAACGGTTCAGGGTGCTGAGTGCTGAGCGGACATGAACGGTGACGCCAGCCAGTGAGGAGGCATTTGGGATAAGCCGCTCGAGCAAGTCCGACTAGATATGTGGCAAGGCTGTAGCCTTGTAACCCGTTTGTTCACAGCCGTCATAACCCATGTCATGGCCACGAAGTGAAGAGTGTAGCCCCTCCCCCCCCCCCCAAAAAAAAAAAAAAAAACAAAAAACAAAGACAAGAACCAGAGGTAGTCATTGGTGACTGAGATGTAAACTAAAACCCCGCCCTCTCCCCACCAAGCTCTAAAAGGAGGGCTCTAGTCTAAGTCTTAGTAGCCCAGTAACCATATCACAATAAGGGCACCCTTTTTTTGTTTGGTTACTTTATAAGGAAACCCAGAACCAAAAAACAAAAGGTAAAGGGTACCACTGGGCTACCAAGAAGTTGGAATTAGGGCTTAGGGTTTACGTTAATGGATGTAAACAAAACTCGGCTTTCGGCCTTCGACTGTAGCAGCTAGGATAGCTAGACTAGGGAGGGGGTGACCCCCCCTAACACTGTAGTTTCAGTTGCGCCGTCAGCACTTTGCCACGGACCAGACGGCTACAGGCGGAACCCGGGCCGGCGCTGTACAGGTAAAATCGACCCATCGCACGCCTGAGCCGGCGAGGGTTTAGAGCTTATAAGGGTTCCAGGGTCAAGGACTCAGGGGGTGCAGGTAAACCCCAACCCCTCAAGCCCATAGACCCTAAACAGCTTGACATTCCCCGCCGACCTTCAGGCAGTTGGTCGACTTAGGTCCAACAATGGAGGTCGAAAGCCGAACTAGAACTGCGATTGAAATACTGGAGATACCCCGTCCCAGCCCCATACAGAGCGGGCGGAATGCCTGCGATTCACACGGTTGAAGTACCCCAAACCCTAAACGACAAAGCACAGTTGTCATTCAAGAGTCGGCGACCCTAAACCCTAAACCCTAAACCCTAAACCCTAAACCCTAAACCCTAAACCCTAAACCCTAAACCCTAAACCCTAAACCCTAAACCCTAAACCCTAAACGCGTGCGCGAAATGCAGGCTGGTGGACGTGGGCCACCCTTTTGCACAAAAATCTTCTGAACCACGGGGAGATATGGGCCGAGATTCGCTGAATACTTGCCCGCCGCGCGGCTTTTGACACTGAGACACGCATCTTTTGCGCACAGTATCTTGAACTGGTGCAAGAGACTCTGCGTCTTGCAGCCTCTCACGCGGCTTCCATTTGCACTGAGACTTGATGGGGCATCGGCAGCGGGGAAAGTTGAGGGGGCCTCTCGCACTGCCTTCTGCCTCTGTGTGCTCCAATCCTACATCCCTCCGCACCCAATATTCAAACCCCTCTTGCTCTCAAATGCAATATACTGCGATGTTTAATACAAGGCGGGTATGGGGGTATGGGGAGGCTAATATTGGTGGGTGAGGGGGGGGGTTGTAGGACAATTGCCACAAGCCCCTCCCAAAATGACACTAGTACCCCCGCCCCCCCATTCACGGGGGGATTGCAACGTAGACCGAAGACCGACGTAAACCCTAAACCCTATGACTTATGGCCCTATAAACCCTGTAACAGCTAAATTTTAAATCCAAAACCCCACGGCCAGGACGGCGTCAGCCTGAACCCGGCGCAATACAAAGTGACTCAGTCCAGACCTGAACAGTCGGGCGGCGGTTTTAGGGTTTCGGGGCGGCATGGGATCTAGGGTTTAAGGGCATAGACGAACGAGTCTAGGGTGTTGGGTGTACGGGCAGACAGGGCTTGGGTTGAATCAGGGGGCCTGTCGGGACTTTGTAGGATATTTTGGGCAAGCAGGTGTGGCAGGACATGAGCTGCATCTACAAGTTTACATCCGTTTTGCAGGTAGCGACCATGTGCTACAGTTGTTTCCGAACGCATGTGCTTCATGAGAGGGTACAACTTGGAGCGATCTTCTTGTAGGTCTTTTTTGCACAAAGATGCGCCGAATTCTAGAAGGTCGGTCGAGGCAGTGGCCCTTGTCAAACAGACCGCCCCCCCCCCCCCCCCCCCCCCCCCCCCCCCCCCCCCCCAAATTTCCGACCGACTTCCTGTGGGAGCGAACCCACAAAAATTGGGATCACGCACCCTAACCCAAAGAGCCCAATACCCCTTAAATAAGGAATATACCTTACATCATACTAAGGATCTCGTTATAGTTTATAAAGGAATGTTCCTTATATAAGGGGCTTTGGGCTCTGGGAATGCTACCAGAAAATTCTTTGCCTACAGTATGGACCAGGAGCTCTCTTGAGCCCATTACATCCGCAAGAATGGATCCATTCCGGGTCTGTGACCCTAAACCCTAGACTCTAAACCCTACTTAACTCCTAAACAAATAACCCGAATTCAAGCCGACACCCTGAACCCTAAACCCCAAACCCTACTTACTATGCAAGACAAAAGGGCTTCCAAGCATATCCTAAACCCTAATTAAGCCCTAAACCCTAAACCCTAAACCCTAAACCCTAAATGCTTAGTTCATGCCTAGAAGCTCGGGCCATCAGCTGATCTGCCGGACAAAATCCTTCACCTTCGTTTTGGCCTCACGCTGTGGTTGGGATTCGGGGCTTTTAGG